CTTAAGGCTTAGAGTTTTTCTTCAGTTCTTTCCGCTTGAACAAATGCCAAACGTGTTCTTTTCTTTTCTTTTTCTAATTCCAGGTCTTTGTGAATTTCTCTGGTAGCACAGTGCCTAAGGCACTTGACTGCTCACCAGAAGGCTGGCGGTTCAAACCCACCAGCCACTCCTCGGAAGGAAGGTTGGGCAATCCTACGACGGCAAACAACAACAACAACAACTTTGTCTTCTTGAGCCTTTGAAATCTTCTGCTCATATCTTTTATCTTGTCATTTCTTCCATTTGCTTTAGATACTTTGCATTCAAGGGCAAGGTTCAGAATCTCTTCTGGCACCTATCTTGGTCTTTTCTTCCTTTCCTGTCTTTTTAACGACCTTCTGCTTATTTCATGTATGATGTTCTTGATGTCATCCCACAACTTGTCTGGTCTTTGGTCACTGGTGTTCGATACATCAAATCTATTCTTCATAGTCTCTAAATTCAAGCAGGATATAACAATCTATTCTTCATAGTCTCTAAATTCAAGCAGGATATAATGAAAGTTGTCTTTTGGTTCTTGTGGACTAATTTTTTTCAGCTCCAACTTGATTTGCATATCAGCAGGTTGGTCTGTTCCATAGTCCTCTGGCTTTATATGTGACTGGTGATGTTGCTTCTCCACCATCTCTGTCTGCTGCAGTTCTCTAGTGCTGCTGTAACAGAAATACAAGTGGACGGCTTCAACAAATAGCAATTTATTCCTTTACAGCCAGTAGGCTTAAAGTCCAAATTCAAAGTGCCAGCCCTAGGAGCTGGGTGAAGGCCCCTCGAACTTGGGCCTCAGATCTGCCTCCTGCTCCAGGCCCAATGGAACCAACTAGAGGCTTCTTCTGACTCACGCAGCTGCTGGCTGCTAAGGCTGAGGAACCCAAGATCAATAGGTAAAATAGCACAATCTCAAGGTCAGCAGGCAACACAGAGGTCAGTGGTTCAAGTCCAGGAACTGGAGATGAAGACCTGGCCAAATACAGTCAAAGAGCTAGAGACCCTCCTCAAGGCTTCCTGGAAGCAGGCCACACTCCGAAGGCAACTGATTAGTTACTCACAGCAGAATCCACCATGGAAGTGATGAGAAACTCATCACGGGAAAAACTACATCCAGCTGCCAAGCCACTCAAACCATGGCTCAGGCAAGTTGACATACAATCTTAACTACCACAGCCTCTTTCCACAGATGTAGTCAATTTGATTCCTGTGTATTCCATTTGGCAAGGTCCTTAAGTACCGCTGCTGTTTATGTTGTTGAAAAATAGAATTTGCAATGAATAAGCCATTGGTCATGTAAAAGTCTATCTTCTGGCATCCAGCACCATTTCGATCACCAAGGCCATATTTTCCACCTACTGATGGTGTTTCTTTGCTTTCAACTTTCGTGTTCCAATCACAACTATCAATACATCTTGATTGCTTGCTTGGTCAATTTCAGACTACAGAAGCTGGTAAAAAGGGATTAGTTCTTTGTAAAGGGCAAATTTGACACTAATAATAAAGATGAAATACGAGCAAAGAAATACAAGCTGGAGAGGAAGAGGCAGTGCAGTGGTGGGGAGAATCAGGAAAAATGGGGCAAAGGAAACCATTAACAGGCTTAGTAGGCTGACCTCCCTCCTTCCCTCCCTGCTCCCTATGCTCCCTTCCTTCCTCTCCCACTGTTTTATGCCTCTCTCTCTCTCATCTCGGAGGAGCTCCAGTGGCATAGTGCCTAAGGCATTTGACTGCTAACCAGAAGGCTGGCGGTTCAAACCCACCAGCCACTCCTCAAAAGGAAGGTTGGGCAATCTACTTCTGTAGCAACACTGCCTCGGAAACCCAAGGAGGGGTTGCTATGAATTGAATCCAACTCCAAACACTGCATTTGGATTTTTGGTTTTCTCCATCTTGGATGGTCCTTTTACTAAGAGGCAGTCCACAGCATGGGGCTCTCTGTGCTAAGACACCACAGAGGAGCAGCTGAGAGAGCCCAAAAGAGAAACAACAGAAGCCAAGGGAAGGACCATGCCATGTTTCCCATGGGCAACCCGTGTCACTTTAGAACTAGAAGCCAGCAGGCAAGTTTCCATGTTTGCTGCCTGGCCCACAATTCCCGGTCCTGCTGACAGGCACAGTCTTATCTACAACTGGTGGCTTGGGACCAGGACCTATGAAGAGACACTCACTTCCTGGCCCAATGTGCTGAGAGGGATGACAGGCTACAGGGATCCTAAGAAAGGAATGGGCAGAGCTGTGTCTTTTCACTGAATTTCTTAATTCTTGTCTTGTTTCCCTTCTACGGCCCGCTTCTGCTGGGAAGCCAAGCAGGTAGTCAAGGAAATGATGAAACTCCTAGTTCAGAGATCAGGAGCCGACATGTGGTAAATCATTTTTGATCTGTGCATTATTTGGCCCCAAATTTTAAAACAAATAAGCATTAGTTGCCAAGCTTTCAAAATGGGAAGATCACCTCAATATGTAGTTCCAGCCCTGCTCTGTAAGCCTGGGATCTAGAAAGACATGCTGTTTCCCTGCAATGGCATCAATCAGCCAGAGAGTGGGGCTGCCCCTTCAGGCAAACATCCAGGGCCCCACCTGGCCAGCTGTGCCCTGTACTGTAGGAAACTGTCCCCTGCAGTCATGTGAATGTGCAATCCCTTGAAGATGACCCAGACCGCACTGAAGAGTACAACAAAAAGCTACCTGCATCTGGCTCTAGAAAAAGAGGTTTGCTACCAGGCGATAACAGCAGACGCCACTGGAAACAAGCTCAGTTTGTAACTCTGAGCACCCTGTCACATAGGGTGTGGGCACTGTCTCCCGCAGGCCCTCCATACCTGGTCCTTGGTAGGCCTGGGGATGGCCAAAGGCAGTGTCCCAGTTATTGGAAGTGTTTCTTTGGGCAGCAGCCCCTTCAGGCTTGGCTCCCCAGCCGTCTGTGCCCTCCCAGTTCCCGGATTTGGATGCACTCCACGCAGTCCAGGGCTCGTTGCCACCACTGACCTATGTTGTCAGGGGTAAAAAAAGAGAAAGGTATTTGTGACTTCTGGAAACTGTTACTCAATTAAATGGGAATAATGCAACAATGGAACACAGTAGAGGTGTTGAGAAAATCAATAGGAATTTATGTTAAACAATGGTAATTTTTAACACTAAAAGCTCTCAAACACATAAACCTGTTGCTGGTGTGTTGTTTCTGACTCACGGTGAACCCACGTGTGACAAAGCAGAACTGTGCTCCATGGAGTCGTCAACGGCCGATTGTTTGGAATCAGATCACCAGGTCTTTCCTCTGACATGAATGTGGACATGAACTTCCCACCTTTCGGTCAGCAGCCAAGTGCTGAGGCGTCTGCACCAGCCAGAGGTGTCTAACAAAAAGCAGCATCAACTGATTCCATCTAAGACCACACTTGGCCGTGTTTGCTTAGCGGCTTTAAAAACGGCAACAAAGAAATGGCTGACAGGGCTAAGGGCCACTGCCCCATCTTCTTGCTTCCCTGACGTCACCACCTTTTTGAAACTGGCATTCATTCCCAGGTATCCACTGCGTATGTTCCCACGCATGCACTGCCGTTGAGTCGGACCTGACTCATAGCGACCCCTCCTTGGGTTTCTGAGGTGGTGTCTCTACGAAAGTAGATTACCCAACCTTCCTTCCAAGGAGTGGTTGGTGGGTTTGAACCACCAGCCTTCTGGTTAGCAGTCAAATGCCTTAGGCACTGTGCCACCAGAGCTCCATGTGTACACACTCGCCAACAACAATCACACAGTTCACAGTGCGTCTATCTCTCTGAGACTTGATTTCTGCCACTCAGTATTGTTTTGGGACCATCCATGCTGATAACGAGCATGTGTTCATACATCGTAACTGCTTTACAGTATGTTTAACGAGGCTTTATTTTATAAGCAATA